TAAAAAATAGCAGAGGATAAAAATGTGATCTCGAAATGACACTTTTTTTAAGCAGAAAGTTTAGAATGATTTAAAACATCAGTTAAATTAATCTTAGAAGGTTTCATTTGTGCTCTTGCGATCGCTTTCAGGCCAATTGCACTGTTATTTGTCTCAATTAAGGAGTTTTAAAATGTCTAATAATACGTGCGAAATAAATATTATTGCAAATTTAATACGTAAGAAACGATTCCAGGATCAGGACCTGAAGGCAAGACCTTTGGTTAACAGGGCCAGTGTTCTATCAATGAGTTATGTGAGAGTACAAGCTCCTTCCCTCAATCTTCACGTATAAAGCGTTTTTTATTCTGCGTATGATCACCATATTACGTTATGATAGATATATATAAAACCAAATCGTGAGAAATGCATCCCAGTCCAACATTTACATAGGTCCTGGGTTCAAGTCCAGATCTCGGAAAAGTTTTTCAGTTGGGGCTTTTGCACTTAAAAAAAACAACTTAATTATTTTATTTTTGAATTTTGATGTAATGAACATTACTGACATTTTAATGATGCTTTCAATGGGAATAAAACGATGGACTTTACACAACGTAAACCACTATATTTCCATTTGTCCTAGAAGAAAGCACAAGTTTATAAATATGTTGCTAGAGAAACGCGCATGCTTCACAACTTATTGTCCCGCTTATTAATCTATTCTTTTGCAGTTCAATTCCATAAATCTCTCACGTTGGATGTCTGCACAGTAGGAGCCATAAGACTGGTGGAATGTTTATTGCTATTCGAGAGGTAATGCAAGAAGACAAAGTTAAGCATCAGAACACTATACGTGGGCATTAATATGAATTGTGAGAGTATCTCCTATACGATCACGAACTACTTTGCAGGAAAAAATACACGCACACCCATAACAACAACAACAACTAAAAACACAACTAAATCACAAAAGCGAGAGCTCAACTCGTGCTTTAGAGCACTCATCGCTCTATTGTTTCTGAAAATGTTGGGTTGCAGCCATATGTTGAAGGTATGTATATGTATATAGATATATTCCATTCTTTGCAGTCGCATAAAGCACCAAGCTGTGGAATTGGCTATCTGATAAGCACGACAGTCTCGAGAGAGTACAGGCAGCTTTAAATGTCTAAATCCACGCAAACATCACATTTTGTCGTAATGACGCACACGGTGGGTAATGTAACTGGCGTGTTGTAACTGATGGCTCCCATCTCCTACAATTGTAGTCTAAACTGCAAACGGCTCGTATCTAAACGGCCCATTGCACTCGGAATCACGCAGCCAAGAAGAGATGTCACTCGTTCCTTACACTAAGGCGACGTATCGACCTTGTATTCTCGGTTGTTGTTTTTTTTCCCCCATAGCTTATATCATTGGGTCCATCTCAGTGAAATTATATTGTAACTCAACATGCACACACACACAGATAGCGAGAGAGAGGTAAAGTATTTTGTATCTTTACTATAAGGTCACTTAGGCACAACAAATTAAGTTTATACCGCATCTAGTATCACATACTTAAATATTAGAGGGTTTGAGAAATGAGCTGAGAAAGTCAATCAAGAGTTTCTGGCAAAAAGTCCTGCTACTTTTCGAAGAAAATAAATTTCATTGGATTACAGCTGTTACACTGATAAATGCCGTATTCTTATATGTTATAAATTAGCAGTATGGGTTAATAACTACATATGGGCAAACTTTACTTTATACTGATCGTACTTGCAGTAAACATTATCACACTTGGGTATGTTCTGGCGGTAATCTTAAATATTGAGCAGGGCCGGGCGTGGCCTGAAGGTTAGCGTACTGAGACTGTGAATCCGAGGATTCATGGCTCTTGGGGCATTGCGCAAAAATGCACTGCATACTTTGGGGTCGTGGGTGTGATATGAGAATGACGATCAAACACTACATTCGATCAATCAAACTATGGCGCATATAGTTTTAGAAAATAAAGTTGAAGCGTGTAATCACTGTTAAAACTACACCATTCAAAGTAACAGCGTACAACCACTACTGAAGTGACATCATTTCTTTTAGTAACTATGGTTCATATAGTTTTACAAAATAAAGTTGAAGACGTGTAATTACTGTTGAAACTACATCATTCAAAGTAACAGCGCACAGCCACTACTGAAGCGACATCATTTCTTTTAGTAACTATGGTTCATATAGTTTTACAAAATAAAGTTGAAGACGTGTAATTACTGTTGAAACTACACCATTCAAAGTAACAGCGTACAACAACTACTAAAGCGACATCATTTCTTTTAGTAACTATGGTGCATGTAGTTTTACAAAATAAAGTTGAAGCGTGTAATTACTGTTGAAACTACACCATTCAAAGTAACAGCGTACAACAACTACTGAAGCGACATCATTTCTTTTAGTAACTATGGTGCATGTAGTTTTACAAAATAAAGTTGAAGACGTGTAATTACTGTTGAAACTACATCATTCAAAGTAACAGCGCACAGCCACTATTGAAGCGACATCATTTCTTTTAGTAACTATGGTCATATAGTTTTACAAAATAAAGTTGAAGACGTGTAATTACTGTTGAAACTACACCATTGAAAGTAACAGCGTACAACAACTACTGAAGCGACATCATTTCTTTTAGTAACTATGGTGCATGTAGTTTTACAAAATAAAGTTGAAGCGTGTAATTACTGTTGAAACTACATCATTCAAAGTAACAGCGTACAGCCACTACTGAAGCGACATCATTTCTTTTAGTAACTATGGTTCATATAGTTTTACAAAATAAAGCTGAAGCGTGTAGTCACTGACAAAACTACATCATTCAAAGTAAAAACCACTACTTAAGCGACATCATTTAAACTACTAGCATGTGACCATTATTAAAGCCATATCATTCAAACTGCTAGCGTGTAATCGCTACTAATACTACATCATTCAATTTACCAGCATGTACCACTTTTGAGCCATAAAATTAAAACTGTCACCGTGTAGCCACTTTTGAAGCAAAATCCTTCAAACTACCAGCATGAAACCACAATTAAAGTCATGTCATTCAAACCATCACCGTGTAGCCACTATTAAAGCAGCATTATTCAAAGTATCGGCGTACAATCACTACTGAACCCACATCATTTAAACTACTAGCATGTAACTACAATCAAAGCCACACCATTCAATCTACCAGTATGTAATTACTGCCGAAGCTACAAGAAAAGCATATTTAATTAGCTATACTGATGGCCAGGTTGATTTTTAATTTCGCTTGATGTACATAACGTACTCTGGTAGGAAGTTGTTATTATTCAAAGTATCAGTGTGTACTCATTACTGAAGCCACGTCATTCAAACTACTAACATGTAACCACAATTAAAGCCATATTATTCAAACTGTCAGCGTGTAAACCACCATTGTTTTTACCATATCATTTAAACTATCACTATTAAATCAACATTATTGAGGTCATCTCATTCAACCTATCACCGTGTAGCTAGCTACTTGATTCAAAGTATCAGCGTGTAATCACTAATGAAGCCATATCATTCAAACTTCTAGCGTGTAACCACTATTGGGCCATATTATTCAAACTACCAGAATATATTGAAGTTATAACATTCAAAGTATCAGTGTGTAACCACAGTTACGGCCACATTGTTTAAAATATCAGCTTGTGATCACTATCTGAGTCGTACAAATTCTGCTCCTCATGTGTTACCATAATTCCTGTTATATATATATATATATATAATCCAAGTAACTAGCGTGTATCAACAGCTGCTGATTTCATATAATTTAAATTATTAGCGTTCAGCCACGACTAAGTCATATAATTTAAATTATTAGCGTACAGCCACGACTAAGTCATATCATTTAAATTATTAGCGTACAGCCACGACTAAGTAATATAATTTACATTATTACCATATAGCCACGACTAAGTCATATAATTTAAATTATTAGCGTACAGCCACGGCTAAGTAATATAATTTAAATTAGTAGCGTACAGCTACGACTAAGTCATATAATTTAAGTTATTAGCGTACAGCCACGACTACGTAATACAATTTAAATTATTAGCATATAGCCACGACTAAGTCATATAATTTAAATTATTAGCGTACAACTACGACTAAGTCATATAATTTAAATTATTAGTGTACAGCCATGACTAAGTAATATAATTTAAACTATTAGCGTACAGCCACGACTAAGTAATATAATTTAAATTATTAGCGTACAGCCACGACTAAGTCATATCATTTAAATTACCAGCTTAAAACTAGAAATGAAGTCATTCTATTCAACTAGTGGAGTTTCTAATCTTAGCCTCTCCCAGTGGCACAGCGGTATGTCTGTGAACTGATAATGCTAAAATCTGGGTTTCGATACCCGTGGTGGGTAGAGCACAGATAGCCCATTGTTTAGCTTTGTGCTTAATTACAAACAACCAAACAAATTCTAATCTTAATTTTCGATTAACAAACCTGGTTTAAAGTCAGATAAGAATAAAATAGCCTTTCCTCTTACGCTAGGTATCATAGAACGAAATATCATTTATGATCTTATATTATTATAAAAAAAATTAAATTCTTGTGGTCATTTAATGTACTGTTTTTTATTTTAAATTTTCCTGAATAGCTTTCAATGATGCATTTTGATTGTTTTCTAAAAAAGTATTGATTATTTTCAGTTCTCTTCACATTTACTTTTGAGTTTTATTAGGTGCATATGTAATATTATACCTTGAAAAAAGTCCTTGTAACTGTAATATAGAAAGATCTAATAATGTTCTTAAAATATAATTATTTAATGTTTTTTTTAGCAATTTTCGAAGCCTAAAACTAAAAAAATATTTTGGAGTATCTCTAATCTTGTTAATAGTAAGTTTAATTGCTGCTTTTTTATTTTATTTTTTTGACAGATAATATAATTTAACTCTCATTACTTATTATTATTGGATTGAAATATCGCATTAGTCTTTTTTTTTTTCTGTCAGATTACCCATTTTGATTGAGATATCCCAAAACTATATTGTGAGTACTACCCTCTCCCCCTCATCGGGTCAGGTGTATATGCTATTGTTTTTTTTTCTACCTGAAATGTTTTGGAAGAACTTAACATTGAGGCCAGATGAACAGAAAAAACGAAATCAAGTCAAAATGTTGTGGCGAGAGAATAGAAACGTTGAAAGTTGAAGCAGAACTGTTCGTTCCACAATGTATAGTTTCTGTACAGAAATCAGTCGTCGTTCACTACTTCAACATGGACTAAACATCATTTCACGTCATCATAATCACTCACTTTTACATTTGAACATTTTTCCGTAATAAAATGTTTGTGTCTGTAAACTATCACTTTCATCAGACGGTCAAGAAGTTACAAATGTGGTATCCTTACCTGGCCACATCTGAACTGTGTTCTACTTACGTTCCAATCTGCACTGACACAGAGGTAAAACATTTTCACAGGTGAACTAATAATAATTATCTACATTTTTCTTGGATATATGTTTAAACACAAGCATAATTTCACTGTGAATTTGGAAAGTATAATTAACAAGTAATTGAATGAACATAGAATTTGCCATTTCACCATAAGCCTAATGTCACTAAATTCTATGTATTTAGAAAGTATAGTTAATAAGTGGTTGAATGAACATAGAATTTACTATTTCACCAAAGCCTAATTTCAATTAACTAAGTGTATTTGGAAAGTATAATTAACAAGTAATTGAATGAACATAGAATTTACTATTTCACCACAGACTTGTGAATGTGTAAATCACAGTTAAGATGTAATTGAACGAATATATAATTTACTGTTTAACAATTACAAAATAAAAGATATGAAATCAATGAGATTTGTATACACTTTCCCATGCATTTATATAATTTACACCAATAGGGATTATCAGATTATCTGTTGAAATTCAAAACTTTTCTCTTCAAAATCAACCGAATTTTAAAGAAAACGTAAACCTGAAAAGGCTAACATATTTAAACTCAAGTGGAAGAAAGTATACATTTTGTCAATCAACCCTTTTGAGTCCGAACAATGACACTTTTGGAAGTCACTATTTCCATTATTGTATCATTGATATAAAATACATTTGACCTTAGAACACCACATATAAAGAATTTGTAAGTTTCATACCTACCATGTCATGGGTTACACAGTTAGTTACATGGTGAAAACATGAGACCAATACAAATTTGAAACTTTCTGAATGTGATGTTTTTTCACACTTTCTCTATATGTCTTTTGTTTTGCCTTCAGTACTCTCGACTGTCTAATCAAATTATATTGTTATCTGAGGAAAAACATTTGAAGCTCATTTGAGAGTAGTTGTTACAAGTTATCACTTTAGTTATAGAGTTCTGTTAACTTCAAAATATGACGACTATTTTCACATAGGTGAGAGAGACGGTGGTTGACGTACAGAAGAACGAATTACCTTATACCTGTCAACAATGATGCTAAATCTAAAGAACACGAAGGTTTACAGAAAGGGGAAAGGACTAGAATGGGGAATAAACAATTACTTAACTCGGAAATATTTTAGTCGACCCCCCTTTGCTGCCATAATTCACTACACATACGACAAAGAACGATGCCAGCCTGTCAGAGATACTGTGTTAAAGCCATCTTAAGAGCCCCATTAAACCCAGGATGTGGCCTGATTTACTGCAGCTTGGAACCAAATGCTGCAGCTTTTAAAGCCGCCTTGGGTCTTTGCTGTACTGTATTCACACCAGGCTTTTATGGTCTATAACTTAAAATATGGCACTAATAATTCTTTACACGGCTGTGGCCGAGCCGAAGTCGCAAGCCGTTATTCCTATGATGATTAATTTACTGTTCAATAAAAGAGCGAAGCTGTAAAGGCAGTAACAACCACAAAAGGGTATAGTGAATGAGGATATTAAGTTAGAACTAGATACATGTACTCTGTAAAGAGAGTGCACGTTTCGTACCCTAAGCGTGTAAAAACACGTAGACATACATATACACGGAGAAAGTAGGTAGGATTTGGAAAACCTTCTATATCTTCATATCCTGCAGAATACTAGGGTAATTTCATCCATTCCTGATCGATTTCTGTCATACAATCAGCAGAAATGCCGAAAATGAAGAAAGTTCATGTTTACAGTAATGTTTGAAAACGAAAACATTCGAGCACCGATGTAGAGTTGGAGAGAGAAGTACCACTTCTCCATCTGTCCGTGACGTATTGAACTCAAAGTTTTCAGTTTTGACTGTACTCATTGTTCAATAGCAAAACTGAAAAACTGTTTGCCTTTAATTATATCGCTGCCTTCCAAATCAGCCATCACTGATTTACTCGGATAACATGTGAAAAATAATAACATTTCAAATAAAAACGTATTTTTGACGCCTTGCCTACAATGATTTCACAAAGAAGCTTTTAGATCTTGGTAAATAATATTGTTAGTTTGTAGTTAAGCGCAAAGCTACACAATGGGCTTTATGTGCTCTGCCCACTACAAGTATCGAAACCCGGTGTAAAGAATTCAAGCTACCCCCTTTCAAGTTACTTCCCAGTAATCTGAAATCGATTTCATATTACCCTCGGGGGTAGCCTGAACCTGATTTTATATTACCCCTGCACTATTCAGATTACCCCCCTCGCTGATTTAGCTAAAATGATACATTCTTATGCTTACAACTCGTGATACGTTTATTGAATAAAACACGTGAAACATACATGATTGAAAGCAAGTCTCAATATCTGAAAAAATATAAAATGTCACAAAAATGTTAATTATATTAAAACCAGTCAGACAGCTACGACATGCTTGCTAGTTGCCCCCATTGCATGATAGCACGACAGATTGCTAATTCACATGAATATAAGCATTTATGGCTAATGGGTGTCTCGAAAAATAATACAGGTAGTTACCGTAACATTTAGTTAATGTGCAAGATTTGCATGTTTCCTATGTAGTTGATGTAATTCTGATCTACAGAGAAAGATAACTTATCGTACATCATGCACTACAGGGGTAATGACAATTTAATAATAAATATTATTATTTGTTGTTGTTGTTGTCAGTTTATTTGTGTTTATGCATGAAATAAGTATCTAAATAAACATAAATAAATAAATGTTTTGAGGGGGTAATCTGAAATCGTAAGGAGTAGGTTGAAATCACCTTCAAGCTACCCCCCAGGGGTAATTTGAAATCGATTTCATCCTACCTCCCGGTAATCTGAACGCGATTTTAAGTTACCGTGGGGTAAGGTGAAGCAAGGGTAATCTGAAATTGCTGTAACGGTTAAAATCATAAATAATATTCAACGTTAAACTGGTACACAGTTAAAAACATTTTATTTAGGCCGATCTATGGCCTTCAAAAAGTTGACGACTCTACCTACATGTTTCGACGTTACAACGTCATCCTCAACTTTTTGAAGGCCATAGATAGGCCTAAATAAAATTTTTTTTAACTGTGTACCAGTTTAACATTGAATATTATTCATGATTTTAACTTTATACACAAGTGCCAAAATACTATAATTGCTATAACGGTGTTTAACGTTAGAAACCTTCAGACTTGCCGCTGACGGAATCAAGTCGTATATCGTTTTTATTTTTCGAGAATGTATCTTTTCTCAAATATGCGTTATAGTTTATAACCAATAGTCATTCTTGTTATTATTTTTTGTGTTTTTTACTCATAATAACCAAATTCTTGATAAAAAAAGAGGGACTACGAATAGATAGGCACCTTATGTGGCCGTGGGCTAAACAGTCAGGTCAGAGTCTCTTACAGTTGGGACTGGCATGGCCTTGCGGCTAGGGCGCTCGATTCGCCTCCACAAATGAACATACGAAGTCTGTTCAGCAAAATCAAGTCTCGAGCTGTGGACCCTTTGATCCGCATCTCGACATGCTAACCACTAGGCCATGCCCGGCCCCGAATGATTACAGACTATGTAGGATTTTGATTAAAACCTGTCAAATATATCAGTGAAAGAAAAGGATTTTGGTTTGTTTGGAAGTTCACGCAAAGCTACACGAGAGCTATCTGCACTAGCCGTCCCTAACTTAACAGTGAAAGATTAGAGAGAAGGCAACTAGTCATCACTCCTCACCACTAACTCTTGGGCTACTCTTTTACCAACTAATAGTGGGTTTAACTGCCACATTATAACGCCCTCACGGCTGAAAGGCGAGCATGTTTGGTGGGACGGGGATTCGAACCTGCGACCCTCAGATTGCGATTCGAGCGTCCTAATCACCTGGCTCCGAAGGAAAAAGTAAAAATGCAAGACACAATTACTGCCAGATTATAAACAATAATTTTGAAGTCGAGACTGGTGTTGTAAAACTAGTATAGACAGATGTATTTGATTGACAGTATACTGTTGCGTATGTGTTATATAAATTGGAAATTATTTGACCATAATATTTTAGTGTTATTATGGGTATTGAAACACCATACTTTTATCGGAACTTACAATTCACCGTTTGGGGACCGAAGTGACGTAGTAACCACTTTGATAGAAGCAATTATGCTGCAATCTATTAGAACATGCACAACTCTTTCTACAGTTACGGAAAAGCTGCTTTTTCGTTTATTTGAGATTATGCAAAATTAGGCTTAACATGATGTTGTTTCCACAATTCAGCCATGAAATATCAGTAAGGCAAAAAAAAACACGTGTGTATGCGTGTTTTTGTTGTTTTAGCTGCAGTTTCTCATCTAACGGACACACAAAATATTGATTTTTTTTCTATGCTGAATCGAAATAAGTCTGAGAGAAATTCTGTGTTTTGAAAGAGAAGCATTCTTATTTTAGGAAACATTGTTATATGCTACTTGGTTACTATAATTTTCTTCTATGTAAACAGTTCTTGTGGAAAGCTACTAAATAATTCCCATGGAATATAAGTACTATTCTAAGAACTTATGAATGAAAGCAAAGAAGAATACGTTATGGTGTCATACGCTTCTGGTATTACAATATGAGTTGTTGGGATATCTAATAGTTGCTGTATGAACATCTGTTACAAACCTATATATTGTTGCCAAAACAACATAAAACCGGCCCATTGCAACCAAGCAACACTGTAATAAAATATATGATTTGTGACAGTGATGATTGTTTTCACCAAGTGTTGAGATAGGACAATTTCGAAGTCTAGAGTTGAGATCTTAGATACATCCGACAAAGATGTTCGAGTCAAATGTCGCCACTTATTTATAGATCTACAGGTAGATACACACCTCCGTAACAAATACTATAAAATTACATCGTATATGGAAGTAAGTGAAAGGTACAAGTGGAGACTACCATAAGAAACGCGCACAGACTTTTACTACCCAGTTGCGATAGTGTACACTTCTCTGACTTCACTCTGACGGTAAGTTTTAGCAAGAGCAGCATAACATTGAAAAGAGAAGTAACTCACAAGGGACTGAAGAACTGAAACAAAATCAATTAAAATGACCCATTAATCAATTATAAAGTCGGGCAGAAAAGTTGTAACGTCACATAATTTATTCTTTCTTTAAATTTCGTTTATACAATAAGAAATATCCACGAAGTTCAATTCAACTATATGTTATACGAGAGATATTTGTTAGTTAGCCATAGCCTTTAATACTGTTTGAGAAA